GGGGTTCTGGGGAAATTTTGGTGCTAAACATCACTCTGTTTCTAGTTATTCAATGAGGTGGCTGATTGTTTAGGCTTGTTGCGCTTTTGTTCAATGTTGTAATTCTAAATGTGATGTTTTTGTTTTATCGCTAAATGTTTTGAGGTTGTTATCTCGTGGCGAAGGAAGGGTTTAGTCAATCCTTCCAGTTGAAAGGTTCTGTTTCCTGTCGGGTCGTATTCTATCTTCCTCACTGTATTCTTTCCTGTCGGTGTAGTTCCCTCTTCCCTTGGTAAAGGTTTTGACTGTATCGTTTTCTTTTATCTCCTCATACTTCCTCGTGTTCTTTTCTCTTCTTGTCAGATTTACCTTTACATGGTCCATATGGTTCTTATCATCGTGGGCTTCGTTGGGTGTGAGTTTTGTGGATGAGTGTTTGGTGCTGTTGGATTTCTTCAAGACGAGTGGAAGCATACTCGTCCATCCTGCCTTATTAAATCTGACCCTGTCGTGTATCATATTTTTAAGTGTCCTGATGAAACGCTCCACGACATTGGCGTGTGTTCTTGTGATGATGTGATTTATGCCTTCGTCCTTAAAAAACTTTGACACTACCGTCTGGAAAGCACCATCGTCATCTGAATATATACTCATTGGAAAACCAATCTTCTTGAAACTTTGCTTCAACGCAGGTAAGACCGTTTCTCCGTCTCTCTGCTTCATAGGCACGACGTCGCCCATCTTAGTAAAAATATCTATAACGACTAAAGCATAGGGTGGCTCGGAATTCTTCATTGGTATTTTTGCCTCCGGAACTTTGGTTAAAGGCTTCATATGCATTATTTCAATTTGATACTCAAACCTTGAGAACGGGGCGGTATATGAGTTTGAACCTCTATAACCTCTAATCTGGCGAAAAAGAAAACCAACCAGAACCCGAAAAATGAACCAGCCACCAAAAACTACTTAAAGAAAAATTAACTATATATATTAAGAGATGAGTTTTAATTATGAAAAGTGTAGATGTTGTAGAGATAAAAGTTCCAACGTGAAGGTTGTGTTGAACAATCTTTTCCCTGCCGGAATTTGCGATATGATATGTGATTACAACACCCACTGTTTCAAATGTAATAACTTAATCTTCAAGGAAAACGAATCCAACAGGTACGCCTACGAAAGACATACAACAACGGAAGAGCAAATAGACTTCTTCCAATCAGAGATGCCAACACCCATTTGTTTGAATATGACTGGTAAAGACAGAGAGAAGGATGAAGAGACAGATAGACACGTTGATGGGCACACTAGCATTGAAGGAAAGGTTCAAGCACGATAAGGTATTTCTACAAGCAATCGTATCTTATGTGAAGAAATATATTGATTGTATTGAGAACCTCCTTTATTTCTTTCACGACCTTGAATTTATGAATAGAAGTAAAAGACACGTGAATGGTGGCTTTCTGACCTTGAAGGCACTTATGTTTTTAGAAACCGAACGCTCATAATAAAGGACATCTTGGAAATCTTCTTGCGTGAATATCTCAAAGAACTCTTCAGGTATTATGAACACTACATCAATGAAACATAAATAGAAGAGCACCTACAAAGGGTGATAAACACTTAAAGAAAAAACTACCTACATATATAGTAAGGAAAAATGCCTATGATTGGAGTAAGTGAGGAAGAATTACAAAGAGATAGGGAGAGACTGTTGAACTTCATAAAGGAAAACCCATATCCTGATTATAAGTTTGTATCCAATGACCTGCTACTGAACCAAGAAAAGTCTTTGGACCAATACGCAGAGTATGGTGAAATAAACCACGACCTTTTGAAGGAAATTTATGAAAACATCTTTGATAAACAGTTAGTCAGAAAACACGGTGAAATGATACACAAACGGGGAGGAATGAGAGCACTAAAAAAACAATTACTATTCACTATTGACTGTGTTGGGTCATTTGGTTCAGCAACGAACTGTGGATAGAGATACAATCATTTTAGTGTTCTACAACATCAAAACGATTGTATCTGAATATTGGGATGGAACAAGAAAAGATGATGAAAAATGGAGACACGGATTAATTCATAAAATCTTAACTACACATATTATGAACTAATCCTTCAAACCCAGAACCCCAAACATAAAACACAACAAGCCTAAACAAATCTTAACCTCATCCATTATCACCGAACAGAGTGATTTTTAGCACCAAATTTCCCCCAGAACCCCCCACACATAAAACATCAACAGCAAGGAAAACACATTGAACATCAACAAACAATCATAACAAGCAACACACCAACAAATCCTCCCCAGAACCCCCCTTTTACCATTTTTTTGGGGGAAGGTTTGTTCTTGGGCAGGTTTTTTAGGTCTCATGACCTTGCGGCCACATGTAAAAACACTGATTATGAGCACTCCGGATATGTTGTATTTTTGCGGACATGAGAGATGCACCTGGACCTGTGATTGAATGGCCCCCTCCATGATCCCGTTTTGCGGATCCGGGCATTGGGGAGAATGACCACCATTTGCGATTCAATTTGAGATCACCTGGATTGGTTTGGACACTTAACTGGGTGAGTCATTAGCTGCAAAAATCGTGAGCCCCTCCCGAAGCGCTTGCATGATAGCGCTGTTAAAGTAGATCCATGGTGACCTTTCACCATAACGACAGGTGCTTCTGAGCTATCCTCGGATGTGGCTCCACCAACAGATGTCCGTGGAGCTGGCGATTGTGTCTGGGGTGCCCAGTGGTCGGTACACTACTCCCATTTTGCAGGGGGTTGGTATTTATATATCCTATGTTTTTTGCTTTTGCTGCTTTTGCTGCATTTGAAGCTTTTGCATCGTTGTTGACATTTCCCTTACAACATGTGGTGTCCTGGGATCAATTTTAAGGGACATCATTCTGTAAGAAATATTTTTTGACCATTTTGTAGGGGAACTTTGGGTATTCATTACTCTGGCATCATCCAGGTTGCAGGAATTGCAATTTTGTACGGCAAAATTCAAGGACACCAGATTGCAATTGGAAGCGAATTGCGAACTTGTGAACTTTGAAGAAATCACCAATGATACCGGCATAGACCCCAGATAGCAACGACCGCAAATGGAAACGCATCTTTTCCTCTCAGCCCAGTGAGCCCGTGGGGGCAGCAGTGGCACAGCAGCGTTGAACCAAAACGGCCATCGCACTGGCAGACAAGTGGGGAGACATTTTGGGAGACAAGGCAGCAGCCGCTCAGCAGTGGCAAACCAAAACGGCGATCAATCAGGCAGAAAAGAGGAAACAGGTAAGAAGGCAAGTGGCGCAAGGCAGCAGCGGCGCCAGCGGCAGCAGTGGCACAGCAGCGGCAAACCAAAACGGAATACAGTCACCCAGGCATTGAGAAGTAAGAACCCTGAAATTACCGCTATCTGGGGAAGAATGAAAAGACCAAATTAAAGGTGAACCTTCTTTTGCAGGCCTCGGTGGAGATCTGACTAGGTCACCGAAGGTCCAATTCCTTCACACCCACGAAGCTGCGAACTGCTGTCCTTGATAAACAGCTGCAAACCGTGAAACATGAGTGACATGAGACTCTCTTTGTCCGGAGTGTTTTTGGGGTTCATTGGAGGCAGAGTGCTACTCCTTGGCGCTTCTCCTTGGTTTCTTTGCTTTCAATCAGCTGTGGAGTTGGCTGCTTTCATGAGATACACTCCGAGGAAAACGAGATCCGCGGAGTTCACGACTTCTTCGGTATTGGGTATTCGGATTTCATGGTCATCCGAACTCGGGGCTGTGCCATTTTCTTTCAGGAAGTGTAGTTGATGCATGTTGATCCACTGTCTCACCAGTCACTCAGGTGCAGCGAGTGGAGCGCCTCCCTTTGGTCGACCAAGGAGGATGAGGCATTGAGGCGACTGGGACATTTGCACTGGGCGGGGCATAGTTTGGAAACACTGTTCAATGTATTCAACGCATTGAACGATTTTAACATTGTTTTGTTTGATTGGCAGTGTTTTCATTCATTTGGTTACATAATCTATCCTGTCGTGTAGTTCCAACATCGGGACATCGCATTATTCACACTGAGTATGGTGGAATCCTGCAGAGCATGTCGTTTGGTGGATCTTGCCTCTGAAACCTGCGGATAGCCACATCTTCCTGCCACCCGCCCAGCGGTCTTTTTCGCGCAGGAAGACGCGCCTCTCAAAGAAGCAGAAACAGAAGCTCCGGCGACGGAGCGGTGGCCCAGGGTCTCTGGGTTTCTTCTCGGTCGATCCGCACCACACGCTTTCCGTCACAACTGGGGTGACACACACCCCAAGGTTCAAGGCATTCCTTGTCGCTTGGACTTGACCCACAGCTCTTGGGCTGTGAAGTCCTTCGGTTTTTTCGGCCGGATACTAGTCAGACTAGTCACGTGATCTCTCTGGTATAGCTTTTCAATGAGGATTTTTGGGTGCAAAAAGAACAGATCTTGACTCAATCTTGACTGCTACTGAGCTTGTGTCTTGAACGCACCCAATGGGTTCTTGGAGATTTTTAAACTGCACGTTCGACAGTTTCATCTAGCAAAATACACAATGTGTTGTTGGGAGAATCAGGATTCTTCCAAACATCGCGCAGCTAGACCCGTAGACGGTTCAAGGCAATTCTCCAGAATCAGAAGGGAACCACTTCAATCTCCCTGCAACAAAGTCCTTTTGACTGCAAAGGAGGGGACGAGCAAATGAGCAAACACAACGCCAACATCCTGCAACATATTTTGCCTGACCAACGAAGGCAACTCCTTGGAACAGGCGATTGAAGCGCTCTAATAATTCGAAGGGGGAAAGCGTCCTTCTGGTGCTGGATCACTTGACATTCAGCGCACCATCACTTAGGTTCTGCCTTTACTTCACGTCAATGATTCCATCAAGCAAACCAGACCACCTTTGTGCTGCAATCCTCGAATCGAGTCTTGTAGTTTGAACCAGACCAGCTTGGTGTTTCTCCTGGCTTCATCCATCCTCCTCAGCTTCGATGACTAGCAGCGTTTGGGCTCAACAGACCCGGTGGGCGGCCCTTTGGCGAGGCCCCGAAACGTCGGGCGAGGCCATGGAGGCCGAGGCCGGTGGACCCTGCCTGTGAAGCCCCACCAGAGGTGAACTCCTCAAGACCCCCACCATTGGAACAGAAGGGAGGAGTGTTGGGAGGACGGTGTTGCTTCATCCAATGTGTGTTTGGTTGGTTTCATGTGTTTCTGTGTGTGGTCACGACCTTGTTTGATCATTGATCCCACCTTTGATATTTTTTCTGCTTTATGTGTTGCTTCTTCACGGGCTATCAAGCGTTGGCGCATCAACAACCTTTGTGTGTCATTCTCAGCTGGTGTTCTCAACCTTGAGTGCCCATCGTAACGTAGTTCTTTTTGTTCTCTGCACTATTGGTATAGGCCATAGGCATACATTGGCATAGGCCATTGACAAATCCAGCGGGGTGTATCTGGACTCCGCCTGTTCAGAATGGACGCATCCCCAGAACTCAGAACGCCATCAAATGTGAGTGCTAAGCTGTCCGAAAGGACTGGCCGACCCCCACGCGACGAGATTGCGGCGTTTTTCAGAGAGAGTCAGCGAGAGTCAGCGATCAGGGGCTGTTTGGGCTGTTTGGGGCAAGTCCTGGTGTCAGCAGTAGGGATGATTGATCCACTTAGCCACCCCACCACCCACGCCACACTGCAGAGCGGGTCATGAGGCGCCTGATTTGAAGAGTTTCATTCAGCAGGAGTTTCAGAAGCAGTCACTGTGCCCTGCCGAAGTTGAGATGGGCTGGAACCGTGATTCAGCTGTATTGATGGGCAAGATCCTGAAGTTAGTAGGCATGTGACGTGTAAGGCACACAAAGAGGGGGTGGTTGAGTTTGATTAACATGTTGACTCAAGAGAGTGCTGGAAAAATAACTCTTAGAGACTCGGATGGCATCTAGAATTGCCTCAAGGATCCACCCAACAAAAGGTGAAGTGCCACTCGAGATCCTTGAGACCGCCACTCGAGTCTCGGGCGGGTCACCGGTCGCCACACCCCTTCGACTGGTCCACCTGACGGGTCCAAGCAGACTCTCGACCAAATGCGCGTTCCTGCTCCAGACCAATGGTGGTACCTTCCGGGTCTTCCCCCCCCGTGGTGGCCGTGGGCGTACGCGCCAACGCCGACATGGCGTCCGTGCGCCACTGAGGCTCTTATTAGGCTTAAGCGATGATGTGAAAGCACTCTTCGTGGACTTCTCCGCCCTCTATCACCCGCTGCAGGTCCGCCCTCCCCTCCGGTCCGGTCCGGTGTCTCGTGTGTCGAAGGCGCTGGATTTGTTGGGTTGTGGTGGTCTTGGAGAGCTTGATGTTTGTGGAGACGGTCGATTTGCCACCGATGAACATGCGGAGTTTGGGTCAGCGTGGCAGGAACTGTAACACCCTGATCGAGCTGCTGGCATCCGTACACTGCAAAAAACCATCAGACCTCACCCAACAGCAATAGTTCAAGTTTTCCAAGTTTTCCACCAGGGCCCCCCCAAGCGGGACGTCGTTCCGCTTGGCCAGGGCGGGAGCCGTTGGCCCTCGGAGGGGCTTCCCGCGTCACCGGGGCCGAAGCCGCACAGTACGCGGGTGGAGGAAAAGGTCATGGCCCCGGACCAGGTGCGGCACAGCGGCGCGGCGCGAATGCGAACGGCGAAAAAGCGGACGAAAGCGGTTGATCGGAAAGCCTGAAGAGTTGGTGAAGAGTTGGTGGGGTTTGAGGTATGAAACCTCCGACCCAAGGTCCCAAGACCACAGGTTTGTTCCAAAAGCCCGGAGCCCGGATCCGAAAGTACTGTAAGTACATGATTGAAGCCCTAGTAACTTGCTGATTGGATGAGTCGAGAGAGAGAGAGAGAGAGAAGAACCCGGATCAAGGTGGACTTCAAGGTCGCAGGTACGCCCCCATCGTGCAAAAACACCTGCTCTCCCCAGTCAATGGGTGCGTTATTGTCTTATTTGATTGCAACACTGAGGGGGTCAGTCGACCAGGGGTATAGACAGTATTGGATTCCACGGTTTTACTAGTACGAGTAAGTTCCACCTCTGTGCTTCCCGTACTTTCAATCCAAACCCTCAAGTGCTACTTTTTCCCGAAAGCATTGTGAAGGGTTCTTCCGGAAAATCTCTTGAACACTGACACTTCTACACTTACACTCACACACTGACACTTCCACACTTGCACTTGAACACTGACATTTCGACACGTACACTTGAACACTTACGCTTCCACACTTACACTTGAACATGAACATGAACACTTACACTTCTACACGTATCCCAGTGTAAGTGGAAGAGTGAAAGCATCCAACGGCAAGTATCCAAGTGCAAAAGTATGCAAGCGTAATGCAAGTGTGAGTACGGAAAACTTGCACGGGAGATGTCCTAATGAAAAACATTTCCCCACTTTATAAATTCTCTCTGAAAGGCGGAGGGTGGGACGAACAGCGTCAACCGAAAATGCAACCCTCTGCGGAGATCGTGCGTGTCGTGTGCGCGAAATGCAGGCGAGAGTGCGATTTGGCCCGTGCCCGCGCAACCCTCTGCGGAGATCGTGCGTGTCGAGTGCGCGAAATGCA